TATGTTTTTATAACTGGCGTTATGGGCCATAGCGCCTGAGTGGAGCTATGGGCCATAGCGCCCCAATAATTTTTTTTTTCGTCTTTAAATTATTTTTTATATTATATTACTTATTTTTTAAAATTTACATTTTTTTTCTTATTTCAATCTTTTTTTTCCTTTTATCCGTTTTTTTATAAATTTATAAATAAATTTTATATTTAAAAAATATTAGCTATATTTTTATATTTTATCCGTTATTTTTTTATAAATTTCCAAACAAATATTATATTTAAAAAATATTAGATATATTTTTAAAACTGTAGCTATGGCCCATAGCGACTTCAATTTTTTTAAATTTTTATTAAACAATTTATGTAGATGTCGCTATAGGTGATATAGACTGTTGCAGTATATATACCCCCCAGTTTTTTAATTTTTTTTTTCGTTTTTAAATTATTTACACATTATATTACTTAATTTTTTATAAAAATTATATTTTTAAAAATTCCATTTGTTTTTTTTGCTTTTATCAAAATAAATTTTATAATTTATTTATCAAATTTTATATTTAAAAACAAATATTACATATAATTTAAGACAGGCGCTCTGGGCCATAGCGCCCCAGTTTTTTAATTTTTTTTTTCGTTTTTAAATAATTTTCACATTATATTACTTAATTTATAAATTTATTTTATTAAAAAAAATTCAATTCTTATTTTCGCTTTTATCAAATATTTTTTTATAATTTATTTATCAAAATTTTTTTATTTAAAAACAAGTATTAAATATAATATTTTCAAATTTTGTTTTAGCCTATTGGAGTCGCTATAGCCTATAGCGACTCTTTCAAAGTCTCCACCAGTTACAGCGACTCTAGTAATATGGCTTTCATGGCTTATAATCAGATCACATTTGCCACGTGTCATTGGTGTCGCTATGGCCCAAAGCGACACCTAACAAAACTGCCCCAAAGGTGTAAAATGTTTCAAAACAATCCCATTTTGGTATATAGTTTCTAAAAGTGCACCACAATGGTCGTTTAGCCAAGCTACTTGCCTTTGCTTCAATGTGTTGTAGAGATGTACCTTTGGTTGGCGCTAGAAGGAGGGCCTAGGCAACTCTTGCCCCTTAACATTGACTGGGGAGCTTGTTCCGGTATTGTCTAAAAATCCCACATCGCTTAGGAGTCGAGGTTAAGGGTAGTTTATATACACTCTCCTTCCTTAACCTACCAATGTGTCTTTTCAAGGACAAAACTGTGACGGCCCAACAAACGCAAAAGCGGACAATATCTCGTATGCGGTTTAGTCATCAATTACAAAGTGAGAAAGCTAAAAAACAAAAATAAAGTAACTTTGCTGATTATAGTTTTTTGATTTACAAAATATTAAATTCCTGATTCAATTGAAAAATCTAAATTCTTTAAATTAAGAAAAAAAATATTTGAACATTTGTTCCATCAATATTATCCTCAAAAAGAGTTTCCATAACGTTTTCCCTTTGGTCTCCCAAACTTGTCCAAGTAGACCATGATGACGTTAACACCGAAGAGCAAAACAAACTAGTAGGCGACGACAATGCCGATAGATGAAGGCAAAGAAGGATGCGAGGCTCATTAAGATAGCGCCTATTACAAATGTGGACGAAACTAAGATGATCGTGTTAAGGCGTCCAGTGACAGTGGGGGTTTCTTTCCTATTCGTGTCTTCCAGTAGTAAGCATATGCAAGTGCAAACAATTAGTAATCAATACTAGTATCACTAGTTTTGTCTTCTTCTCATTCAAAGCCTTGGGAAAAAAAACTAAAACATAAAGCACGATCCAAATGGCGTGCCAAAATGTATATATCATTTTTCCTTTATTACCTACACCATTTAATAATTTCCCACCCTTTTTAACAATATAATTTATGTATTTTTCAATATAAATTTATTAAATTAAGAGACTCATCAAACAACTAAAATAATATTAGCACTTCTTTTTCATCTTTTTATTTTATGTCTACAATTTGGAAAACAAACCATGACCATGATGCTAAATACATGTATTGATCTGATTAACTCTTGAAGCATGCAATGCATTAACCTAAATTGGGAATGCAGAATTAACAAGTTTTTAATCCGGATCAAAGAGAACAGAAGAGAAAATAGTAATACCAATGACTCCTACTATTTCTCTATTTATAGAAGGAGATACTAACAGTTGTAACTATAATTAATTATTATAATTAAAATTAATTAATTTTTAATACTTTTGATAATTACAATTAATTAGAATTGTAACAATCAGATTATAATATCTCATTAAAATTGATATTAATTAAGTTTTAAAACTTGTAATTATTAAAATAATTATTTTGAACTTAAGTTTAAATTCAAAATAATTTCATGAATAAATTAACCTTTTAAAATATCTCAAAATATATAACAATCTTCACATATTTCAAAAGTTTTAGAAAATCATTTTGGATTCTCAAATAGGATGTAATACATCGGATCTGGTGTAGCAAACTTTTAAACCATACCTAGATTGATAAAAACTTAACACATAGTATAGTGAGTGTAGCAAGCTATTGAATCCAAAATACTCCATGTGTATCAGGAGTTGACCAATCACAATACATCCCCACAATCCTTGTCATTATTGTTATGTTGCGTTTTCAAGCTATGCATGCGCTTGATATTCATGAGTGCTTTAAAGATCTCGTCAAAATCTTGTGCAAGCCATCCTACTTGACATTCATATAGATGATTTCATCAAGTGTACGCTATAAATTATACACCACTTATTATAAGAGATATGAAAATTATTAAAATATTTAGAAGAGGTCAAGCTTTTTCATAATCACATAAAACTCAATTCTAAAAATTGTCCTCTCATTAATGCAACTATAGCCCTTTTTCACACCACAGGAAGATATTGAAAAGTTAAAATTGATTAAAATCAATTTTAATGCTAATAGAACTAACTAGTAACTTATTTTTCCATTAAACCTTCTTCAAGAGATCTGCAATCATAAAGGTTGGCTTACTATTATTATTTATTTCAAGTGGCTTTAATAAAATCCAATTTCCTTTGGTGTTTAAATAACTCACGATGTTTAGCGAATAATATCTTACCCAAGGGTTTAAAGTCAAAGGATAAGCCAAATTCATTATTAACTAAACATGATAATTTTTTATTTTTCAACAATTGTGATATCACATCGTTTCTTAATTTTATATTCCCAACATAATATTTGCGAAGAAGTTCTCAATTTCAAGCTTGATAATCAACAATCCAAAGAACAATAAACTTTGACTTAATAGTTATTTATTTAGTTGATATAAAAGTAATTGTACTACAACCAAGTGCAGCGACACAACCACAAGTGAATTTTGTCTCAACATACATCCAATTACATGTCTCACCAAGCAAAACAATAAATGCAATTAGTTAAAAATGGGTTAGAATATCTTTATAATATCTATAATTTCACTTATTTTACTTTTAATTTTTATAATTTAAAATAGACCATTTTAGTTTTTATGTTTACCCTTTTAAATATTTTTTTAGTTTCTACCGATAATTTCTTCAAAACTTTGTCCCTTTTGTATTGATGTGGTAGAGATCTTCATTACGCTTTGCCAAAAATAGCACACACATTGACAAGATTGTGACAACAATACGCCCTTCATTTCACAAGAACTTTAACCCATTACACTCCACTGCAAGAAAGACGATAATAAGGTTTTTATCCACTTGTTTCACAAGTACATTATTGTCTACAAAGTTAAATATATTACTATCAAGTGGATTTAATAAGCTCACATATCTCACAAGGAAACAACTTTATAGAGAAATTAATGATAAAGACTATAAATAATTAAAAAATTAAAAAAGATAAATATAAAAAGTAAAAAGTAAATTACGTAAAATAATTGAGATTAAAAAAAAATATTTTAACCAATGCAATTTAAGTGCCAATTTCTTCAACAAAACCCCATCTCTTTTTCTCTTTTTTCCAAAAGTGGCAAGAAGCCCAGTTTTGAGTTAAGATTTTGACCATTTTAGATTCGGTGTGCCTCATCTTAAATCTCCGCTAAGCTCTGCCGTTGTCAATGGCAAGAAAAGCACTAAAAGACATGGACCCTATTACAAATTAGTAGGCAACTTCCACTGGAAAATGTTACCCCAGTAAAGGGCCTAAACTTAATTACGAAGAAGACCCCAACACATGTATGTAGAAAGTTAATGGCTTCTTTTAACATTTGGGCTTGATATCAGAGTAATGTAGAGACTTGGGGTCCAAACCTATTGCATATCTATTCAAGATACGGACTCGCTCATGGACCCAAGAAGGAAAAGAGAATGAGGCTCACAGCGAAACAAAACAAAGGAAGGAAGTGTAGCCAAATTCCCATTATCGTAAATTTCCAGTCTCAAGAGTTTAAGGACCGTGTCCCGAGACTCATGTTAGTCATCTAGACTTTAACTTTAAACCTAGTGCCTCTCTTAAAATATGATCATGAAGTATTAAATTTACATTACTTAATACGCATTTAGTTCTTCGTAGATTACGTTGTTATCTTTTACCTCATTCTGGAAGACGAACTATGATTCCTTAGTGTACAGAAGACAATCTTTATAAAGTATAATTTTGAAAGAAAGAATGTTGACTCGACTGCAGCAGTATCGTTGACCCTCGCCCACTCAACATTACAGTGCAACAAGCAAACTGAAAGAACAAAAATTATAGTTTTGTCAAATTATAATTGTCTTTGATTCCACTATATGCTTATAATTTCTTAGCATGCTTATAAACTGCGCTTGTGCAGTTCTATAATAATTAGACTCAACAATCCATTACGTAAGTTCCACTACATGAACTATATAGGCACCATTTGACTTAGTTTAGTCAAAGACCAAAATTTCAAAGATATGATTTACCATGAGACTTGTATAATTATATTTTTTAAGACACGAGCGACGAATGCCTTTTGGCTAAACCTGTTTAACGATGGCCTTAACTTGTTCTGTGCGTAATCATTTTTATAATATCATCTGGGCAACAATAAACATAGCAAAAATATTTATCTATCACAACTTACAAAACATCAAAAAAGCTCTAATCGATCAATTTTTCTGTTCCATCAGCATTTACCTCCTTTCTCATTCGTAGAATGAAATGAAGGAAACCATTTTTTCCAAGGTGCATCCTTCTGTTGCTCCAACCATGACAGAAAAGCACTATCCAGCAAGCAGAACAAGTTTACATAGAGAAGCTGGTACTTCACAGGAACATACCAAAAATTAAAAACCTGCACAACTGGCCACACGCCACCTTCCAAAACCAGTGCTGGGACATAATTCCTCTTCAAGTCTTCCTTCACTTGAGGAAGATTCTTGCCAGCACATAATCCCATGTAAGTAAAGAACACCAACAAATGGAAGGGACCAAAAATTATGCCATCCATTGCCACTTTAGTAGCCACGGATCGCACAGACTTCGGCATTAGTCCAAGCCTAAGCCTTATAAATTTGTCCAAGCCTTCATACCTACAAGACATGATGGTTAGTGAAATAAATGTCACACTTATCAATCTTAAAATCCCAAAGCTATCTCAACGCATTCTCCACTTTTAAAATTACAACCACCTTTGAACAAAAATTACATTCTCCATGCAAGTATTGTTTGTTTAAAGGCTACAACTCCTATAACTAATGCTCTCACTATCTTACCAATGGAGTCTCTCTATAACTAGGAAAAGTCCATTGAGTTCAAGTGCAATAATGCATTCAAGATTTCAAGTGCATGTATAAATCAGAATGCATATGATTACAAATGCAGTAGATACCTAGTAGATGGCATGATATGGTCAACAAATGCTTCAGAATGATATCCATATATATGATTAAAATTTTAGTATCTTGCATTGATATATACTATACCTCCTTGTTTATAACCATTCTAATTCAGTTCATAATCTATCCTCATACATTCCACACAAAAAAAAAAAAAAATCCCAAGTAATTTTCATGATTAAGAAGTCCGCCCCCACCCCCACTGCAATCTCATGTAACAAACTGATTCACAAAGGCCCCAGTCCCCACATAAAAAATCATACTTTCCATTACTTGACAAATACAAAATCTATGATATTGAAGAATTTCTATACCGGTGAATTACATGATTACTTATCAGTTATTAAGAAACACAATTTAATAACTAGGCAGTGGCGGCAAGGTGGTAAATAAAGAGAACAAAATAGGATTCACATACCAGAAGTGGCCAACCGGTCCAACAAAACCAAATCCAAACATACTTGTAACAGCCATGCGGTTCCAGTTGACCATAAATTTAGCATCTGAATCCTACCACATCAATATATAATCTTAGATTGCCAAGAAACCTTGTCCATAATCACCAAATCAAAATTCAAAATCAACCAGCTTCACAATTCAAGCAAAAAATAATGCACATGCCAATCCAACTTAACTTTCCAACAAGGTAAATTGCCGAAACCACCACGAGATATAAAAATTCAAAATGAAAAAAGCTGGGCATCAAAATGGTGATGTGCACCATTTAAAACTAAAGATTCTTTAAGTATTGATGATATATATATTTTCATTAAAGTCAGCTGGTATTTCCCAATTCCCATTAAAAAAAATGTCATTTTTTAGAAATGCAAAACATGTAAGTACAGAAGCAATTAGGATGCGAAAACATGTTAGCAAGTGTGTGTAAAATAACAAGAATCCTAGAGTGAGAAGGCAGTGTTTCGACAGGAAATTGATATGAAGGAAAAAACAAGAGAGTGAGTGATTAGAAAGAGACATAAAAAGGAAAAAGGGAAAAGGGTTGTCATGTTACAGATAGTTGAAGTCGTTTTTTTGCAGCAGAGTGAGTGATGTACTGAGCAGAGAGGTCTCCAACACCCCAGAGGATGGCAGAACTGATGACTTGGGTCTTCACTGGGTGAACAGAAAGGCAATTCTGGTACCAGTTCCACACTTTCAAAATCATCTTCTTTATGTTCCTGTTCTTTCCACCAACGTAGCTACCAGATGACAGATACGAGGTGGTGGTGGTAGCAAAACAAAATGAAGTTTGGTTTGGGAAAAGACTATATAAGATAGAAAATGTTACAGATTTTGGGGGCTGCCCCATGACTTCTCTTGAACTTCATGCGCATTTGTTTGTTCTTGGGCTTGGGTTGGGCTTACCCCATCGAAACCTTTTTGGGTTTAATCAGGTTAAAATGAAACACAACCACACAAAATTCTACCCATCCAGATTCAACAGTAATAATATTAGATGTTGAATTTTATCCTTATAAATAAACAAAATTTCAAATTTCAAAGTTTATAGAATGAAATTCTCTCTTAATTTTTAAAAATTAGTGATATTAAATTTTTTTCTAGGATACAAGACTACTAACCCATATCAAATAAAGAATCAAATCCGGAAACAACTACGATTGTTTCTTCAATTAGATCACAAATTGAACCCAGTAAATTATAATGATCTTTTAAGATATGTAGAGGAAGCCTAGACAATAGACATTCTAAGAAACTAGAAACTGGGAGTATATATATCAATATATATACTTGAATAATCTATCAATATTTGGCTGCCACGGAAGCATTAGATTTTAATTAGGCATTTAGAGCATGTCATTTTCACAGTCTTAGTTCTGACCTTTTCACTCCTCAATCAATTATTCAATATAGACCTTCTTTCATTTATTTTATATTTTCAATCACTATATATGATTTTTTTTCTTAATTATATTTGAAGAGAGGATTTAATAGTTAACTCTTTTGCTAGCATAAAAAAAATAGTTAACTCCTTTGCTTTTCATAAGTTTTGTGGATTTAAAGTATGAAATTTAGTCTAATATAAAAAATGATTTTTAAATAATTTAATACTGTTACAAAATCATTATAGAAAAACTTCTTTAAATAAAAAATGTATAATTATTTAAACTTTCATGTATAAATCTTTTTAAACCTCAAACTATTGTTTTGTTAACTTAAATTCTGCCACAACATTGATAATAAGTTATTAATACGTAATTTTTAATAAAGCTAAAAAGATAGAGATAAATGAGAATCGTAGAAAAGAAAATGTAAATCCGTAAATTAAATGAAAACACGGATAATTTGTCACGTCAAAGCAAAGCTACAGCCTACAGGGGTTAGTAATCAAAGGTCTGTGAGGCTGTAGGTACAGGTGCTTAGTTCTATGTACACTACAATCCATTGTTTCCAAAATATAATTTTAAAAGGAAAATCAAAAGCAAATAATAAAGAGTTTTTTTCCGACTTAATTAAAGAGTACACTAAAAAAATAGTCTTCGTCTCTAACGTTCTTACTTTGTCTTCTTCATGTGTAGAACTTGTGTATTGCGATTTGGTATCTCTAGTCCCACATCGACTAAATGTAATAGGCTCACTATGTTTATATATAGCAGACGAACACAAGGGTTGTCCCTTCGGGGACATCCGATAAAATTGGAACGATACAGAGAAGATTAGCATGGCCCCTGCGCAAGGATGACACGCACAAATCGAGAAATGGTCCAAATTTTTTTTGGAATTTTTCGTTTGGCTGTTTTTCCTATTTTGCAGTTTGGTTTCCCCGCTACTTCCTATGATTATGGTCATTAGGAGGAATATTTCAAAAGTATATGGGCTGTTTTAGCCATTTTCATCCTTGCTTGTAAACTGAACATTCTGTACAGTGCATACCTTATGGACTATAGAAGAGGGGGCTTGTGTTTAATGAAACTGGGAAGTGTCCTTTTTACACTGCAAATATAAGTTTACATAAACAGCAAGTGTAATAAATGTTTCAGGTTCACCTTGATTCAGTTTGTCTTTGAATACTGGTAGCACGGTCTTAAATGTTTCAGGTTCACTGTTTAATTTATGCATGTCAAAATTCATTATTCGTCATGTTACATACTTCATTAATCAATCTCTGGTCTTTTTTTTATTTTTTATTCTAACTGGTGTGTCTTTTCATTCTAATTGTCTAGGGTCTGTCCATCTACGATTTTGCTGCCTGTTGAAGTGACATCCGATCCACTTTGGACATCATAAAGGTTATCCTCTCGGAAATTCATCTCGAGTTCATGCCATCCAACAAATGCTGAAGTCACTTATGGCTACTCGTGGCTGTGGATTATGAGGTAATTGGATGAACTAGTTAAGTTTCTCTATACTATAAGCTATTCTGAATTCGTGGACCTGAAATGTGTAGTGTATATATCTGCAGTGCAATCATGGATGTGAAAGAACTGTCTTATGAATTGGATCATCGGCTAGAGGAAAAGTTTGAGCATATATAAGCTATTGCATGCTACTTTTTATCATTTTAATTGAAAAATGTACATTTGAAAACTTACTACGTCCTTTTTTGTTTACTTATGAGGTTTAATAATAGTCTATTTTAGTCTCAATTTTATGTGTCTAATGATATGTATCGGTGATTCAAAACTAAATGATTTGTGTGGCTTAGCTCTGTATTTGTGAGTTTGAAATTGTGATTATAATAATTTAGATATTAATGGACTGATTTTGAGTAAAAAAAATATTAAAGAACTAGAAGAACACACAAATAATAATAGAAGGATTAAGATTTAAGATTGCAATTAAAGCTTGAATTTGATAATGTTCTCTTCTCATTTGTAATGTAAGCATTTGGTCTCGATGCAATTTGATTTGATTGATATGGTTCTATACTTATCGGTGTTTTCCTCCCAAGTGCTATTTATAGAAGATTTCCCAACAATGTTCAGTGTACACAACAATACAAATCAATGAATTCTCTTGTGATGTAGCGTACACATTTCATTGACAAGTGAACACTGAATAGTGAATATGAGTAGCACCAGTTCGACAAATGGAAATTACACCAGCATTTTCTCAAAATTACATGCCTATGTTCTGATTTCTGAAGTCCATGAATGATATCTACAGTTTTTCCCCCTGAACTCATTGGCATGGTGTACTGTCACGGAATTAGACAAATCTATTCAGGTAAGATTTGTGTTTCATCATTAATCAATTAGTGATCATCACAGTGGAAAGTCGCCTCAACAAAGTATTGACACTACTTTGCAACAGTCAAGGAAAGGCCTAACAACGTGATTTTGAATCTGCTGCCTATTTACAATCAATGCTTGTACTCCATATGAACTTGTTGTACGAACAAAAAACATGGAAGTGGTAACATTTCGCATGTTGTCAAATGGTTTAACTACCATTTGGCTTCTTATGTTGCCATTGGTAATTCTTTCTGGGTGAGCTACCACTACATTAGGTATTTGCAGCACATTAGAGTGAGAAGCACCGAGTTTCTGCTTGTTATAAATTCTCTCAAGGCTTTGCACTGGCATCTTGTCACTATAAAACTTTTTATCTAGTTCAGATTCTTCTTCTGAACCATTTAGAATTCTGTTGGCTTCTTTGAACAAACCAATGGCACGCCAAGCATCAGCAACCAGTTGCATAGTGGACATTTCAGGGACAACACCCCTCTCTTCCATAGTAGTAAGTAACTCTTCTGCTTTCCCTGGTTGTTTTGCTTCTCCGTATCCCCATATTAATGTTTCATAAGTTTTCAAATTTGGGGGAGTTCCCATTTCATGCATTTTCTCACAAAGTCTAACAGCGCGATCCATTTTGCCAGTGGCACACCATCCACTGATGATGGTTGTGAAAATCACCACGTTTGGTTGTACGCCGTATTTGCTCATGGAAGTCAGAAGAGCCTCAGCCTTTCGTGGCTGTCCTGCACGCGCATAGCCTTTTGCAAGGATGCTGTATGCGTGGATGTCAGGTTCTATCCCAGCCTTCACCATATCATTGAATATCTCCTCACAATTTTCCATAAGCCCAGCTGAACTCCATGCATTCATGATGGTGCTAAATGTCACTACATCTGGTTTGATTCCAAATTCTTCCATCAATGTCAGTGCCTGAACAATCTTTGTTTGTAAGTTATACTATCTTCATCACAATATTAAAAACTGAATAATCACAGGCCAGCAGGATACAAACATGAAATACACATGCAACAAACGGTTCTTATCTTTTGAGTATTAACCTTGCAGTTGTGTTAATGTTCCTTCAGTGTGTAAAAAATGTAGAGGGGAAATGCATACAAGAAAATATTGATCTTATGAAAAGTATCAGATACAGAACTCACCTCATCTACTCCTTTTGTGTCTGTAATGTCTAGATATCCTTTGATAAGAGAGTTGAAAACTACAGGATTTGGATGCACTCCAAGCTCTTTCATTCTGTATAGAAATCTCAAGGCTTCTGTCATATTGGCTTCCTTGCAATAACCACTTATTATGATACCACAAGTTCGTTCATTAGGTTTCAATTTGTTGTACTGCATTTTCAATATTAATCTTTCAGCTTTGTCTGTCTCACCATTCTGAGCATATGCCCTTGCCATTGTGTTGTACGTGACAACATCAGGTTGCAGACCTGAAGCCACCATTTTGTGCACAACATGCCATGCTTCTTCCAGTTTCTTCTTGCTGCACCAGGCTTGGATGAGAATATTATATGTTCTATCATTGGGTTTCACATTTTCATCCTGACCCATCAACTCTAGCAATTTCATAGATTCATGGGGCCTTCCAGCAATCCCAAATCCTTTAATGAGGGTATTGTAAGTACTAGTTGTTGGTTTACATTCATACTCCTTCATTTTATGAAAGATTTTCATGGCCTCATCTACCTTGCCAGAATCGGAAAAGGCATTGATCATGGCATTGAGAAGTATTGAATCAGGCTTCATCCCATTGTCTGCAACTTTAGAAAGAAGTGCAGGAATAGACTTGAAACGCTTTTGGCGGGTTAGAGCGGCCACAAGAGTTGTGTATGTTATGATAGTTGGTCTATGACCTTCTTCAGTCAAATTGTTGAAGATGGCCTGAGCTTCATGTGGCTTCCCTTTTCCAATCAAAGTATTCATCAGTTTTGTTCTTGAATGAACTGTTTGACAACTGTTTTTCCCTCTACAGATAAGACAGTGGGATTGATTATGTGACTCTTCTGGAGTAGAACTTAATTTTGGTTGGTTCTTCTTGTACTGCTTCTGTTTCAGAACCTGATGTCAATTTTTATCAATCTTATGGTCATTTTGGTAACAAATTCAATTGGATGGCAGTCATATAAAACACTCATTCAGATCATTAATATAATCAAGTGTAATCTTTGCCCCTTCCTATTAGTTTTAAATGCCACAAGCCATAGCTCAAACAGCCATAAAGTTAAAGCTAATGAAAAAGAGTGGTCATTTCATGAACGCATGTATCTGTACAAGTTTGAATAAGATCTAAGAATTCAAGAATAGTGATTCTATGAAAAAGTAATATTCTATAAATGTCTAATGGTCAAGGTCATAGGGATAATTAAGGCTAATTACAGTTCATAGCTAATGTTATTAACTGCACACATGATTTTCTGACATAGTTATGATAAAAAAACAATTATATAGTTCACATTACCATGACTGATAAATCTTTGGCACTTCCATTACTCATGAGAGCTCCCTTCTGGCTGCTATCCATGATTGACGAGTAGACTTAAGCTGATTCTCAGAAATCAATCTTGACTGCTTCCGAAAGCCTCAGCAAATTACCTTCCTATCCTGGCCAGAATCAGATTCTGGCTACCAGAGCTAGCAAGATTGCTTGCTGTAACTGAGATGCTTCATCCTGGGTTATTCCATCAAGACTACACAAGAGAATCAACTAGATAAGGTTATCAACTTATCATTAATTAGCGTATTCAAAAACACAAGGATAAAGGAAAAAAAATGGCATTAGCCAAGAAATGACTAAACTAATTTCGTATAAATTGAGGATCAGTTGGTATAAATGTTGTCTAAGTTGCTCAATACTCAATAGAGTGTCCAACTTATATAGAGTACTAAATGCATCATCTGCAGAAGGAGAATCTGTGCAAAGGTGTGCTTTTAGCTTGGTCACGGTTACGGGAAAATCAAATTTATTTAGAGAAAATGGGACACTTGTACCTTAAACTCCATATACAAACCCCACTCAAAGTCACATTAGCCCCAGAAATTTCGTTTTATTGATAAACTGGTGAACAAAAACTAATCCTTAAGTAAACAGTGAAGAAGAAAATCTATAACTCAAAATCATGTTTGGGGTGGGAACTTTAGAAGCTGAACGTGGAATTGGATCATGGGAATTTGCTATTTACAGCAACAATAATACAAAACGAACAGACAATCACCCAAGTGTAACTTGACAAAGCACAGACAGAGGCTTCTCACCCTTGATGGTAGAACAGATCATGATTTCCCAAATTGATAATAGAAACTCCTAAAAAGTGGCACCATTTGTCTAACATCTCAGCTCAAGTTTTAACAATAATTAAATATCTAAACCAAGTCCAACTGGGGCATCTAGATTGGACCGTTCTAATCAACATCAGAGTCGAAGCTTGGCAACGAAATCTAAAAATACACATTATCATGATTCATGACTAAGAAGCAAATTATACTACATGCTGCATAGTTGATGGCGTTGTTCAGAATAGTTAGGAAACAAGTTGAAGGACGGGAGATGGTACCTTAGTTTAACGGTTGAGGAGCTTATGGGTGTGCATAGTTAGCAGTGAAGTTGTGTTACATAGTTAGCAGAAGATCCAATTGGAGTTTAGTGGGTTTCGTGTGTGTGGCATGCACCGGAGATTCTTATCCACAAATATTTATCGTAATAAGATTTCGGGGCACTTTTTTGAGGCTGACATAGGAAAAAGACAAATACACTTGGGGAGTGGATTAGGCCACGCCAGCATTCTATTGGCAGGATCAAAATTTACCACGTATTCTATTGGCAGAAACCCCACCTTCCAGATTTTCGTTTCTAAATTTCAATCTTGCACTCTAGACTTTATTCATTGTGCCTGTGGTGTGTGTGTCTTTAACTTATTAATAATATCTTAGGACTGGAAGAAGGCTTAGTTAATTGTTACATTGATATTGTTGTGATCATCTTCAGACTTGAAATAGATTTTTCAATTGTCTGTTTAGTAATAATTGGACTGTTTTTCTCATCTTTTGTTATTGTAGATGATGACTAACAAAAATGTTAGCTAAGGTAATTTTACACGCGCACGTTTATTTAATAAAACCGGTCACTTTAAGGCTAAAGGCTTGATAATATTTACGACTTTACGTAATACTTTTTTCTTTACTTATAATTTAATTCATCTTTACTTTTGTTTTTATTTCTCTTTCACTTTGTCCTTTTACATTCTGTGAAAAAAAAATTAAATCAGTAAATAACTTCTATGCTGTTTCCGTTTATCATGTTTCACCAAAAAGAAGAAGAAGAAAATTATCCTGTTATCGACAGTTTTTCAAAAGCAAATTAAAAAAAAAAATTGTCACTTCACATGTTGGTTTTAATTTACACAAAAATCAACCGATTAAGTAAAAGTGAGGGTACTGTAAAAAAAGAAGTTAAAGTGAGAGTTAATCTCATTCATAAATGGACTAGGAAAATCTCAAATGAATTTTTATTTCTAAGAATTAGAGTGACGATAGCTGTGATTCTTAATTTGTATCCTCGTAGTCCTTTATTGCAATAGATATGATGAGGTGGATCAATTATTGTTGGGCCAGCTGCATTGACACTCTCTAGGATAGTAAGAACTGTTTTAAGTTGCCTTATTTGCAGACATTCTTGGTCTGCCTTAATTTTCAGGCATATGCACTTTTATTGGAATAGGTACGAGGGATTGAATATAATCCTATATGGACAAGAGACGCGATTTAATAAAACTTATAAAGTTTGGATAATTTTTATTGTATACCCATTAAAAATAATTTTTATCAAAACCCCTGACCAAAACCAGCTCTGAAAATTTTGAAGTGTATATGTTAAAATATTTACTATACAATTTTTATTCGTAAATTTTTCTCTTACTATTACTTATTATTAAATTTTAATTTGCAAGTATTATAAATTATTTCCTACTTAAATCATTATTTTACGATTTTATTTAATCATTTAAATTAATTGTATTTTATGAAATGCACAAAAATAAAAAAATCTGCTATAACTTCTTAGGAGAAATTAGTCTATTGTAATTTCACTTGTATCACAATTTCTGTCTTATAAGTTATAACGATATTTTTTTATATTACAATTTCTGTCATAAAATATGTAGTTTTACCATTATACAACAATGATGATACTTTCATTTTTTTTTTGTATTTTTGTTTCAAATTTTATTTAAATTAGAAACATGAAATAATGCAATAATTCATACAACGATTTATACAACCTTTTTTTTTTCTTCCAATTCTCAATTCAAAGATAGGTCTGAGATATGGATTTTCTTCTTGACTTTTAATTTAAGGATTAGTTTTTGTGCACTGGTTCTGGAGCTAATGTGTCTGAGAGTGGGGTTTGTGTATGGATTTTAAGGTATAGTTGTTACATTTTCTCTAAACAACACGGATTTGCCTGAGCTTGACCACTGAGCAAGCAAAAGTACACCTTAGTGCAGATTCTCCTTCTTCAGATGATGCATTTAGTAATTAGTACTCTATATAAATTGGACATTCCATTGAGCAGCTAGATAGCATCTATACCAACTACTCTTCATTTTGTGCGAAACTAGTTTAGTTATTTATTGATTAATGTCATGGTTCTTTTTCTTGATCATTGTATTTTCATGAATTCGCTAATTCGGTTAAAGCCAGTATAATAGCCAGAAACGTATCAAATTTTCAAGTCTATTGCAGCACTTCTTTCTAAAGTTGAAGACAATGGGATGATGCCTGATTCAATTGCCAAAAATGTTTCAACTTTCTACCATAGAAAGCAGAAGAATTACTCGCTACTATGGAAGAGGGGTGTTGTCCCTGAAATGTCCACAATGCAACTGGTTGCTGATTCTTGGCATGCCATTGGTTTGTTCAAAGAAGCCAGACAAATCATTTACTTTTGAATCACCAATACATATTATCAGACACGTAAAATAAGCACTGAAATGAATTCAAAATACCTTATAGTATAGAGATACATGACTAGTTCATCCAACTACCTCATAATCCAGAGCCACGAGTAGTCATAAGTCACTTCTACATTGTTGGATGCCATGAACTCCAGATGAAATTCCAAAGTGGATGTGATGTCACTTCAACAGGTAGAAAAATTGTAGATTGCCAGATCCTTGACAATTTAGAATATAAAATAAAATTAAAAAAAAAACTAGAGACTGTTTAATCAAGTATGTAACTAGATGAATAATGAATTTTGACATGCATTAACAGTGAACCTGAAACATTTAAGAGCGTGCTAGCAGTATTCAAAAACAAACTGAATGAGGGCGACAAAATATTTCATAGCATAACTTTCGTAAAATATGGAAAACTTTATAACATTTGGTTCCTCACTTCAAAGATATGACACTTGCGGTTTATGTAAACTTACCTTTGCAGTCTCAAAAAACACAAGCCCCATATTCTTTGAGTAGTATGGTATTCGTTCAAAAGGTGGGACAGTGGAGTAAGTTCAGTTTACATGAAAGAAAGAAATGCCTAAAACAAGCCATGTTCGTATCAAACATGGCCCCTAATGACCATGATCATAGGAAGAAGAGGAGAAACCAAACGAAAAATAGGAAAAACGCCTAAAGGAAAAATTCCAAAAAAAATTTGGACCATTTCTCGATTTGTGCGTGTCATCCTTGCGCAGGGGCCATGCTAATCTTCTCTGTATCGTTCCAATTTTATCGGATGTCCCCGAAGGGACAACCCATAAGTTCGTCTGCCAAATATAAACCCTGTCAGTTGTTTACATTTAGTCGATGTGGGACTATAGATACCAAATGGCACATTCATCCACCGGAGCACATGACATGAAGAAGACGAAGTAAGAACGTCACAGACGAAGAGTATTTTTTTTAATGTAAACTCTTTTATTAAGTGGAAAGAAACTTTTTGCTATTTGCTTTTAATTTTCCTTTTAAAATTAAATTTTGAAAACAATGGGTTGTACACAGAACAAAGCATAGCACATATACCTACACCTCATAAACCTTTGATTACTTACTGTCCTCTCTAGCTCTGCTTTGACGTGACAATTTATCAGTGTTTGTGTTGTCATTTAATTTACGGATTTGTATCTTTTTTTTCTTCTACTATCCTCATTTCTCTCTTTCATTTTAGCTTTATTTACAACTTCGGTTTTATGGCTGTTTTGGAGAAGAAAAATAAAATGTGACAAATTATTCTTGAAATTTAAAATAAAAACTTTGGAAACTTTCATTTTATTTTATTTTTTCCAATTCTGAATTAAAAATATTTGTTTTTAGAAATGTTAACTATATATAAAAAATGGTTAAGCTAATGACAGTGGAATGAGGATTGACGAAGTAAAAAAGAGTAAGACATGAACATTTGAAAGGAATCCGACAAAGTGGTACGTAATCCCAAACGAAGTGCGACGCTATGCTTTCCCTCTCCGTCTTCCCCACACTCCCATCGCTTCAAAACCCTAACTTGGCCCGTGCCCACCTCTTCAATTTCATCAATTTCCCTCTAAATTCAACGCTTCCGTTACCACCACTCTCTCACCGCACAATCCTCTGCAAAGCGTTCAGGGATTCCGGCAAGGACATCAAGGCGGTGCTCAAGTCCGACGACGGGGGCGGCGGCGGCGGCGGCGGTGACGGTGACGGTGACGGTGGGGACGACAAGGATGCCGAGAAGAAAGAAGGGTCCTCGGGGCCTTTGCCGGAATGGTTGAATTTTACTGCTGATGACGCCAAAACGGTGCTTGCGGCAATTGCAATATCGCTCGCGTTTCGCACGTTCGTGGCGGAGCCGAGGTACATTCCCTCGCTGTCAATGTATCCTACGTTTGATGTTGGAGATCGAATTGTTGCTGAAAAGGTACCCAAAGGAACTTGTAACTAACTTTGCCTTGTCTTTTAGAACTCTAATTTTTACGATATAAAGCATACTAAATTACTAATAATCAATGGTCGAAACTTGAAAGTGTAATTAATCTCAGAGTTTGTTATATGTGTATTTCATTTTTATTGCAATCTCAATTGTATGAATGTAAATGTACTTTATTGTGAAGTACACTTTCCTCACTGTAGAGAAGGTGGAACTAGTTGAAATATGATGAGATTTGCTCAATTTTCAATTTACTCCGTGAAAAAAAGAAAGAGTAATGTGATACTGTAGGCCTTGATATTTCTGAGACAATATCGTGTGTGTGTGTGTGGCTAGGTCCTTGTAATAGATTTTGACATCAGTAACCAACTAGACTTTCTGCTATATAAATTACGATGCAACTCTATGTGAAGAACTGAAGATACATTATCACGTGACAACTTCATCTATTTGTTGAAAACTTGAAATATGATAACAAATTGTTGCTTTTCTAAAGTGTGCGGGGAGCTGGGGACACTGTCAGGCACTGGAAACGTAGGATTTAAGGTTTTTGTTATTTATTTAAGACACTACTTTTGGGATGATTGACTGAAAATTTTCATGAAATATCTAAAGTTTCTTATGTTTGAGTACTAGTGATTGAATTGTTGACAGTCTGAAAATTGTGTTGAGCTGTTTAAGTTTCTTATGTTTGTAAAGCATGAATGAAAAAATATTGCTGATTGTGAGACATACAAGGTTCCAAGTATGGGGAGTGTGATAGGTTTTTTTACTTAATCGGTAAATTCCTTTTTGCTGAAGCAGATTATTTACTGGCTTAGTTTTTTACATATAATAGTTTTGCATTTGTAGCTATTTGCTGTGATGATAAATGTTTAATGTTGAATTTGACTACTTCACAAAAAGGTATACGAATCCATAGGCCTTGACACTCATGAGACAAATCATGTAAACATATAGCTATGCACTTTAAGTAGATTCTGGCATCAACATTCAACTAGACTTTCTTTCTATGTTGCATCTCCATTGTAAAGATACATCTTCATGATTTCAGGTTTCATACTATTTTAGAAAACCATGTGCAAGGGACATAGTGATATTTAAAAGCCCTCCGGTGCTTCAAGAAGTTGGATATAGCGATGATGATGTTTTTATAAAGCGTGTGGTTGCAAAGGAAGGTGATATTGTGGAGGTAAGATCTTTGGAGAAGAGCATTCATACTCTTATATTGTGTTTCTGACTGTTAACTATTTGATCAATTCCTTGTGGAGCTAATTTTACTGTCTTGTTCTATCTCATGTGCGTGACATGTCTAGTGACTACAACTAATTGTTATTTTGTATTTTCATGGTCTTGTTTTGTCTTTTTTTATTTCATGGCTTCATTTTTCCACTTGGCTTGTTTCTTGTTTTCAGAGGGAAGTTTAATGTTTTCTAGTTGTTCAAAAGTTTAGGTAACTAGGCTACTGGTTGTTACATGTACTTGGAACTTTAAACTTGATTCAGCGCTTTGCTCTCTTAAATGTGAGCAATTGAATAATTTGCAGGTTCGTAAAGGGCATCTTTTTGTTAATGGGGTTGAGAGGAATGAAGACTACATCCTTGAACCACCTGCTTATGAGATGAAACCCATCGTAAGTTGTAGCTTTTAATATTATTGGTACTTATGGAACTGCATGACATAAAACATTGACTGTGATGTGGCAAGTCCTCCATTGTGTTTAATTTAATAATATTTGTTTTGCAGCGTGTGCCAGAGAAGTACGTGTTTGTGATGGGAGACAACCGCAATAACAGCTATGATTCCCACGTGTGGTAATGGTGATGTGTTTAATTATCTTCAGTAATCTTATTTCCATGTAGTGCAGTAGTTGCTAATTATGTTGTAATTTTGTTAGGGGTCCTCTGCCAGCGAAGAACATCATAGGTAGATCAGTATTTCGCTATTGGCCACCAAATAGAGTTGCCGGCACAGTATCTAAGGAAACTTGCTCGGTTGAAACCTCCCAGGAGACTGCACTGCCATCTCCATGAGTATGACCGCTGCCTTTCTCAATTTTCTTATTCTTTCTATTTGTAAAACAAATAGGGCCTTTCCTTAGAAAAATATTTTTAGGTTCCTCCACACTGGCTCATGTAAATGCTCATCACCTTTGTATTAAATTCAAAAATCAGACGCAACCCAAGTTGGTTTAAACATGACTACAAACTTGTCAAACAATATCTCAAAAAAAAATTATTTAGCTTTTAATGTTCCTAATCATAGCTGTATTATTCCGTTCGTTGTTCTTTTGGGACAAATTTGTAACTCTGAACAAACGCATCCTCTCTTTGCATCTATAATTCAGATATAATTTTGTCGGGGGTAATATGAAGGTAATTTCTATAAATTTTAATGTATCGAATATTTTCCTTTTTTAATTTACATACAGAACGTTATTTTTACCAATTTTTCTATGTAATATCATGTATTTTATACTCCCGACCTATAAATAAGCCAAAAAATAAATTAATTTCACATAGATTAAAAAATATAGTTAAATATATTTAATTTTCATGATTTTATAAAAAAATGTATACTATATTTATTAAAATATTATTAATTACATTAATCATAAAGTAACTTCATTTATTGATTTAGGAATATTTTTAAATTAAGAATATTAAATAAAGTCGAATTAATTAAAATTTATTTATATTGAGTTCAAAAAACTTGAGAATTTATTATTATTATATATAGGTCCACAGCGAGTAATAAATAAAAAAAAAATGTATCTATTTCAACATATCATCATTAACCTATTTTGGTAGTTATGATAACAAATGTATAAAATTTGTATTTTTTTATAATAATTTATAATTTTGTAATAATATTGCTTCAAAGCGAGTTATAAAAATTATTTAATGTACTTTCCATTTTAAAACGTGGTTAGAACTAAACGTTCATTAGCAATCTTTATATTTGTATAAAACACTCTTCTTTTATAACTTTTTAACATGTTTATTTTTATTTATAATTAAACCATGATGGTAATTTTAATTTTTGTCCAATAATTCATAGTAAATATCTGTACGATGGTTAATACTTATAAAAAGGGATTTGATATGCTAAAATTAATTTTTTTTCAATAGTTATAAGATCTGTTTTAGAATTCAAAGAATGTTATAATGTTCTCAAATTCAATTCTCATTTATGTAAAAGTAATATTTTTGTCAAGGAAAGTAATATTTGATAAACACAATAATTTTTTTATTGTCATCTTTGATATCTTGCATAATAGTTAATGGAGTATAAAATTTTTGAAGAATTCAACCGGACAAATTCATACCATTAAACACAGTGCATGACAATTCCTTTTTATGTCAACTATTTTTTGTCCATTCCCTCGTTCATTTATGCAAAAACGAACTGAAGCACGGATATAACAAGGCGGAATTAGACTCATCAAATCTTTTAAACTCTTTTAAAATGAACCAATGCTCAACATTCAAGTGAAACAAAAATCTTCATAAATTTATGATTGACTCGTTCATACATGCTTCTACTTTTCTCAAAATAGTTATTTGATCAACAAAAATTGCTGGGATAGGATGAATGCATTATCTCTTTATTACATACATAATTAAGTACTGGAGTCTGGAGGCGGGCAAAAAAGTTTGAATGCCCATAATTGATAGAAAAAAGCTTTAATTCCCATTTACAATATTTTGGATTTTATGTGGAAAAAACTTGGACTGATACGAAATTTTGGTGGACTGATGTACCTTGCTATCATGCCAAGTTTTGTAAGATTAACCATTACTATTAATCTATTTTTCAGACAGTGAATCGGCATTCAACAACTAATAGACTGATTTTGCACTTATGGATATTTATCCAACACTAGAAAACATAGAATGAACAAATTGCGTAATTTTGTATTTTTTTCTTAATATTTAAAGAATTCATATATCATACATCCGTAATTGATATTCAACTAGTATTATTCGGTTGAAATAGTATCTTAGAAGGGAAAGA